AGGAAGGATGCCGCAGACTTGCGTCCCAGACGGTAGAGTCCGGTAAAGACCTCGTCGAAGATGATCGGCAGTCCCGACCAGGATGTGGCCGATCCTGGACTGTTTGTATCTGTAGTGTTGGCCGCGAAGAGCTCTGGATGACTGCGGACAACGTCTGCGAGGCATCGTTGGAATAGGGGATCGCAGAAGAGCATTCCACCTGCTCCGAGAATGATAGGCTCCATGATGAGAGAACCAAACTTCATTCCTTGCCTGTGGATCAGGTCTTCGATCGTAGTGCGTATGAAATCTCTGTAGCGTTGTCCCGCTTCTGATTTGACACGCGTCTCCAGATCAAATACAGAGTTCAACGAGGAGAACTCGAGGTCCTCGCCCAGGGAGTCTCGAAGCACATTTGGAATCTCAACCTTCCAAGTCCCTTGAGACAGTTTCACCAGGGGAAAGTCGAACCAGTACCCGCGACCGCGGTACCACTCGACCTTCTGGTTATAAGTCGATGGCTCGGAGCAATCCATGACCCCGATCGTGTCACCATGGTAGCTCCCCTTGAGACCTAGGATACTGATCTGTTCCTTGCTGGCATCCCAACCGTAGCGATGGCATGCCGCACGAAGACCCATTTTCACAGCCACTTCCATCCCCGTGCTTCCATTGTCGGTGTAGAAGACCTTTTGAAGCCGAGGGTTTCCGAGAGTGTCTTTCAGGAGCTCTGCCAGCGATAGCGCGGGCTCGTGAACGTTCCCCGCAAACATGACATGTCCATATCGTCCAGCTGCATACGCAGCCGACAGGGCAAGCTCCGGGTTGCCATGACCGAGACCTTGAGTCCACCACGACGCTGAGCCGTCAAAGGTTGGTTGCAAAGTACCCTGATCTGAATTGCCGCTCAACTCAAAGGTTTGKAAGTAATCGTCATGTGCAGAGTCGATCACAGTGATATCCTTGGCCGTCATGCCATGGTGCTGTGTAAAGGGGTACCATATCGTACCATGGGCCCGACTAGCCATGGACTCTAGACGATCGATTCTCTCGGCATTTCTCGCCGCTAGTTCATCTAGCAGACCTTGGACGTCTGATTCCTGCGCGACCTGCTGATAGTAGCCTGCCATGGCCTCCTCGTCCTGCGCCAGGGACGCTGCATCCTGCGACTGCGGGCGTTTGGGAGGCTGCGGCAATGGTACAAGGGGAATGCTCTTATTGCGGAAGTAGTCGCCCAGGTACTCATGGTTCTTGTAGTAATCGTCGCGGAACAGCAGCACAGAATTGACATCGTAGCCGCGAAGCAGTAGTGATTCGTAGGCGGAAATGGAAGACGAGATCCCCCCAAGTCGCGAATCTGCGACGAGAACCACTGGCAAACGAAGAGGCCGGTAAAGATCTGCCTGCGAGTTACCATTCGGCCCAGGCGAATGGACTCCGCCGGCGGTCTCTACGAGAGCGAAACTGATTCCGGTGCGAGCCCATTCAGAAAGAGTCTTGTGCACGGAACCGAGGATATCATCGTCCCGAGGGATCTATCTCATTAGCTTGTTTCGAAGCAGCAATTGCCTAACAAACATACCACGAAGTTCTTCTGTTGAGCAGCGATATGCGGGCTCACCGGCTCATCGAATTGATACAGACATTTGGTCAATGTGCCGGCCGCATGACGTTGGATGTGTCTGTCATCCGCCTCGTCCAATGGTCCTGTAGAGACCGGTTTCAGGAATGCCGCCTTTTCGGCCTTGCGACGTTGGACCGCATTGCATAGAATAGTCGACACAATGGTTTTGCCTACGTCCGTGTTGGCGCCGTAGACTTGGTGGGCACGCAGAGTGCGCCACAAGGCCGCTCGAACGGGAGGCATCAGATAATCAGCCTGTGTTGTGACCTGTACAGCAACAGCAATATCTCACTATTCAAGGTAGAGATGTGAGTGATATCGATGATAGCCGCATAGCCGACTATAAGCAGGGCAATCTAATCTCGGTGAATCATCTTTCCATCCAAGGATCCATCATAATACTTGGTTGGTGGTTATTATAATTTATTACCGGGTTGGCCGAGGCATCCGTCAGGCGCTAAGGCTAATCCGGTTCCCTGCCAGTCTAGGCACTAAGGCTCCCAGGCACCAAGGAATGTCCCACCAATACCAAACCGTATCCTGCTGTTGGGGAACCAACAGTTGGTCCCGGTCCCTGTCAGTACCGTTGTCCACACTAGTGTTAGCTTTGGAGCAATGACCACAATTCTATTATTATTTTCATTACTATGACTATTATTATTATATTATGAGAATGTGTCAGTGTCACACTTTCACAAGGTAGGAATCCTAAAAGTACTGGTGGCCTGGTCCACAGTCCACCACGACGATGCCAATCCCCGGCTCCACCCTGGTATGTTGGATTTGGACGGTCATATCCTTATTTCCCTTAGTCTATCCATCTACCCCAGATCAGCTCGTCCCTCGTGTGAATGCGTTTTCAGATAATCTGTTGGTGACAAGTCTACTATAGTCTGTTCTAATGGATAGTTCCCCTCCCAAGTCCCTCCGGGATTCATTGCGTCAGGCCCTCCTTCGCAGAGAAGCAAAGTCTTCTCGTCGACGGTTGACGGTGTTACCTCAATCCTCAGTAGATTTCTCCTCGAATGATTTTCTATCGCTCTCAACATCTCCAGTCTTTCGAGAACGCTTTCTAGACCTCATCCACCAAGCTCCCCCGCTGTACCCATTCGCCAGCGGAGGGTCGCGTCTATTGGACGGCAACTCAACCTACGCAGAGGAACTCGAAAATTTCATCGCAGACTTCCACAGCGCTCCGAGCGGACTTTTATTCAACTCCGGCTTCGACGCCAACGTCGGAGTCTTCTCCTGCATTCCCCAGCCAGGGGACTTGATTGTGTACGATGAACTCATCCATGCAAGCGCGCGCGAGGGCATGCGGTTGTCGAGGGCCGGCAAGCGGGTGCCCTTCTCGCACAGCTCTCCCAGCAGCCTGGATGAAGTCCTCCAGTCACATATTGCCGATGACCCTCTGATCCAGAGGGGCTCGCGAAACGTCTTTATCGCCATCGAGTCCATCTACAGTATGGACGGCGACATTGCGCCTATCCAGGATTTTATTCAGGTGGTTGATCGGCTGCTCCCCCGAGGTAACGGCTACTTTATTGTCGATGAGGCCCACGCAACAGGCGCGTTTGGGCCCCGCGGTGCCGGCGTGGTCCAGGGACTGGGCGTCGAGAAGCGCATGTTCATTCGGGTGCATACGTTCGGCAAAGCGCTTGCAAGTCACGGTGGTGAGTTATTCTTTTACTGAGCTACATGATAGCGAACTAACTGGATAGCAATTGTGCTGTGTTGCCCCGACACAAGAGACTACCTGATCAACTACGCGCGAAGTCTGATCTACACGACCGCCATGGGATTCCCCTTCCTTGCGTCCATACGCGCTGCGTATGAGCTCCTTGCAGAAGGAGAGACGGAGCAGCACCAGACCAAACTGCAGCAGCTGGTCGCGTACTTCCGGGATCGCCTCGCGGAATTGGACGCCTGGGACCCTGCGGCCTTCCAAGTGGATCATTTCCCGACGTCGCCCATCTTCTCCGTGCGTAGCCGCTTCCCGCGCCAGTTGGCCGCGGCGTGTCAGCAAAAGGGTTTTGTGGTGCGCGCCATTATGGCGCCTACTGTTCCTGCAGGTAGAGAGCGGGTGAGGGTTTGCCTTCATGCTGGTAATACGGTGGAGGAAATTGATGGGTTGGTTGATACGTTTAAGGTTTGGTTGAGCCAGACGACGGAGAAGAAGATTGCTAGGTTATGACATGATGAATATAACTAGCCAGTAATAAAAAAGTGCAGTATTAGAGGATCATGAAGTCGTGCTCGTTGGGGTACCTGAAGAGGACCCAGTCCCCATGGATACGCCTGCAGCCGCTGAGGCTCTGGTTTCTTGGGTGTAGGGCTGAGCGAGGTTGTTGATCCTTCCGCCGATGCGGCGCCCGGAGCTGTGCCATGAGGGACGTAGAAGGTGTGGTTGCCAGCTTGATGGTAGTTATGAGAGGGGCTAGGTGTCTAAGTTTTCCAACATCTTAATGTTCACTGTCTGATGATAAATCTGAAAGCTCCTCTATGATAAGTTCACCCTTGATGCTCCTGCATTCAATCTAGCTGGCTAGCAAGGCTGCATTTATTTAACTCAGCTAGCTGACATGCTCCTGGATCTAGGTACTTGAGTGGGTTCTACAAGGTGTTTCTTTCTAGGAAACAATGGAGGTCGCTCCTTCTCAAGCAGCCGGACCACGACAATATGCTCCTCGGAATAACACATGCCAACCCTAGGCGCACTCGCATCCCATCGAACATGAGTATCATGAGGTTGACAAACAAATCAATTGGACCTTATGGATTGATGCCCGTCCCTCCCATCACGCGTCAGGCTGAAGTACACCTTATTGAGCAGCCATACCATCAAGTCTACGCTGAGCTTTGGCTTGATACTTTGCCAGCATTCGTGAATGATTACCAAGATATCAAGATGACGGTGAGTCTGTATTTTCCTGTGAATTTATAGACCGTTTATCTTGGAGATACTACTCCAATGACGTTGTTGCAGGTGTATTTCTACTAGAATTGCTTTTATAATAGCCTAGTTTGGTTGATGCGTATACTCGTTCAGATAACAAGACGAAATGACAATCTGCGAAGCAACAATCAGATAGGTTTAGAGGCAGTGTTATGTCTGTGGTGGCTAAAAACACAATGGACGTGATATGCAAGGTGCTGTTTGGATAGACATCAGGCATACTTATTGATATAGCATATTATGATTTTCAGTATGGACCAGCTGCCTTACAAGAGTCTGAAATTCCCACAATATTCGAGTTGGCTACAAACGCGAGGTTGTAGGCAGCAGGCGTGTATACCGCGTCACCTGCTGCTGCTTCTTCCTCGATCTGGACCCAAGTCATCACAACACCATCACAACAACACTGGATTCGCTCTGGTTGTTGTCTCGACCAAAACCATGGCTGTAAGTACAATTCACAGCTCACAGAATACTACTGAAGAAGATAGTCCTGTAGCTCCTGCTACAACCCCACCTGTCCCGGCGCGGAGAGCTGCATGACCCTGTACGCGATCTCGGATTTGGTCGTGGCTTACGCGCAGGTGAGTCGTCTCGGTCTATCTGCATAGTCTACATCAAAATACTGATGGATTTCTGATGGATTATGATATAGCAGCCCGAGCCGACCCCCACCACTCCACCCAACGCCGCGACCTCCGCTCCTAGCACCCAGATCCCAACCGAGCAAGCTCCCATCGACGAAAGCGACGACGAAGAAGAAAACTGGGAAACTAAGCTAACCATCGAAGCGACTGAATGCGTTTTCCGTGGCATCCATCTCTCTGCGCCGCCCTTCCCGTTTAGACAACGCTGGGATGCGGATGCTCGTCAGGAGATAGGCGAGCGAAAGAACCGGGGCAAGAAGCGCAAGAGAAGGGAGTATGAAGAATACGACGACGAGGAGGATTACGAGTACTATAATAATGAGGCCTTTCAGAGGATGTACGATGCCCTCGCTGCTGCTGTTGCTACTGTCACTGCTGCGAATACCAGTGCTCATCCGACGAAGCGGCGGAAGAAGGCGATGAAAAAGAGGAAGCAGGGTCGTGCTGCTGCTGGTGATGGTGTTGCTGGTCCTGCAGGCAGCTCAGCTTAAGGAATTGATGCAGAAAAGTGGTGTTTACGAGTGGATGGATTGATGGATTGATGGATTGATGATTTATGATTTGTGATCATTACTGGATGAACGAGTGCCGTGGATGGAGCTTACTTCCCCGCATTCTTGTTCTTCGGACAGGACTGGCTAAATTCCTTTGCCAACGAATCACCAATGAGATGGATGGTTATCATTCTTTACCGGCCTAGTAGGATGTGTCCGTCAGTGCCGAACCAGTAAGACTGACTTGCGTGTTGACCGAGAGTTAAAACGCCAGATGCGGAGAAGTTGATAATGAACCGAGGATAGACCGACAGCTCGGCAACGGCAATGGCTGTCTCAATTACTAGACAATAATCACTGCTTGCTTTCTTTTTACTATTTCTTGCTTTGATACCATTTACATGAGCGATTACTGGGTTTACATCTTTCACTACTTGCATGATGAGTCTAGGTAAGTCTACATCCATTGACATACAGAGCGTCACTACTCACTGATCGAATAGGCGTCGCAGCAGCCGCAGTAGCAGGAGGTGCTACGCTGGCGGCGTATCTGAACGCCAAATTCCATGTCAGAAAAGACATCTTGACTCTGTACGTCGCATGGAAAAGTACCCGTTCCTTTGAACGAGCTGGTATGGTGCCCTCTCCTCGTACACTGCAATCACGTCTAACGAGAACAGCCGCCCAGGGTCTTGGAAATGTCTGGTTTGTATTCCTGGAAACGGCAAAGAAGTACCCGGATATGGTGTGCATGTGGACACGGGAGGGAATCTATACCTATCGGGACGTCCAGAACCTCGCCTGCCAATATGCACACTACTTTCTTTCCAAAGGGGTCAAGCAAGGCGATCTGGTGGCCTTTTACCTGCAGAACCGGGCCGAATTCATGATCGCGTGGCTTGCTCTCTGGAGTATTGGATGTGCACCTGCTGCGATCAACTACAATCTTACCGGCGATGCGCTGGTGCATTGCCTCAAGATCAGCGGAGCCAAGTTTGTTCTGGTGGATGACGATGAAGAATGTCGCGCACGAATCGAGGACAGCAGGGTAGCGATTGAAGGCCAACTGGGCATGGAACTTACCTACCTAGGCCCCTCGTTCACCTCGCAAGTATCCACCTTTCCCACCACCAAGCCACCCAAGGATCTCGCGCTGAACATGTCGGGCGAGTATCCGGCCATCCTACTGTACACGTCCGGCACCACCGGCATGCCCAAGGGCTGCGCATTCACCATGGCCCGACTGTACAGCACCCTCGATCTCCGCCGCGGATCGATGGAGGACACCGACGGGCCCGACGGGGACATCTGGTACAGCTGCATGCCCCTGTACCACGGCACCTCCGCCGTCGCCATGATGGTCTGCCTCTCCACAGGCGTCAGCATTGCCCTGGGCAAAAAGTTCAGCGTGCGCAACTTCTGGCGCGATATCCGAGACTCCCGCGCCACGATCTTTGTGTATGTCGGCGAAGTTGCGCGGTACCTGCTGGCCGCGCCGCCCTCGCCGGACGACCGCAACCACCACGTGCGCTGCATTTACGGCAACGGACTGCGACCGGACATCTGGGAGAAATTCCGGGAACGGTTCGGGATCACTGCCGTGGGCGAGTTCTTCAACAGCACCGAGGGGATTTTTGGGCTGTTCAATTTCAACAAGGGCCCTTTTACGGCGGGGAGTGTCGGCCACCACGGACTGATCATGCGAGCTATCATGCACAACAAGTTTGTGCCTGTGGAGATCGATCCTACCACCGGCGATGTCCTGCGCGACCCCAAGACGGGGTTTGCGTTCCGGGCTCCGTACGACAAAGGCGGCGAGATCATCGTCAATGTTCCTAGCGAACAAGCATTCCAAGGCTACTGGCGCAACGAAAGCGCCACATCCAAGAAATTCCTGCGCGACGTCTTCAAGAAGGGCGATCTGTGGTACCGCTCCGGCGATGCGCTACGCCGCCAGAGCGACGGCCGGTGGTACTTTCTCGATCGGCTAGGCGATACCTTTCGATGGAAATCCGAGAACGTGTAAGTCTGCCCTCTTCTGAACCAAAACGTGCTAAATACTAATGGACGCAGTGCAACCGCCGAAGTGGCCGAAATCCTAGGCCAGTACCCCGGCATCCAAGAAGCCAACGTCTACGGCGTCCTTGTCCCCAACCACGAGGGCCGCGCCGGCTGCGCAGCGCTCCAGCTCAGCTCGGAGGCGCGAGGCGCATTCGACTTTCGCGGTCTGGCTGCGTTTGCGCGCGCAAGACTGCCCCGGTACGCTGTTCCGGTGTTTCTGCGGATCGTGGAGACGTCGGCGCATATCCACAACCACAAGCAGAACAAGGTGCCCTTGCGCGAGGAGGGGGTTGACCCGGCCAAGAGTGGGAGTAAGGTGGCCGAGGGGCGGGACGATAAGTTCTACTGGCTTCCGCCGGGGGCGGAGGGATATGTTGAGTTTGGGAAGAGGGAGTGGGAGACGCTGGTGGGAGGTGCTCGTTTGTAAGGATGGATCTGGATGCTGGATAGAAATATCAAGTATGCAAGACAATATACATTGTGTTATGAAGATAATAGTGGATTGGGTAGCTGTGCATCAAGGGATGAATATGCATATTATTATGGATTGGAGATACCGAGAATACTGAATAACTAATGACACGGAGTAGTGGAGAGCTATCGGCGAGACAAAATCCCTCAATTATATTGACGGACAATTTCGACTGATTAGGCTAATACTCAAGAATCTCCACCGACTAAGGAATTAGCATCGGATTAACTCCTGTTCTGCCCACGCGGTGGCTTCTAGCGTCGGATGCAACAGGTTAGTGACTGGGTGCCGCATGCTGAGGCATGAACTAATAAACCAAGAGATTCCCTCGTCCGTCCTCGTTGAGGCGTCACTGCTTCACGCGTGATCGGTGACGAAGATGTTTCCCACTACGATCAACGGCTGGTCGGTTCTGACCGGCCTCCTGGCTCTGTCTTCTACGGCGTCTGCCTCCAACTCTTCCCAGGCAAACTGTCGATGCTTCCCTGGAGAAGCATGCTGGCCCTCCCCCCAGGACTGGTCTGCTTTCAACCAGACAATTGATGGTCAACTGGTTGCTACGATCCCGCTGGGCACTCCCTGCCATGCGCCCAACTATGATGCTGCCACATGCGACGCTCTGAAGGCACAATGGCAGCTGCCTGAGCTGCAGTACGTAATGTCCTCATCTTTCCCTTTTGATTCGGAACTGATAGAAAGCAGCTATGAATCCTCCTCGTCGATCATGGCCCCCTTCTTCACCAATGGCACCTGCGACCCGTTCCACCCCGTCTCCAAGCCCTGCACGCTGGGCAACTACATTGTCTACGCGGTCAACGTGAGCAAGCCCGAGCACATCTCCAAGACGATACAGTTTGCCACCAAAAACAACATCCGCGTGGTCGTGCGCAACACTGGTCACGACTACAACGGCAAGTCCACCGGGGCCGGCGCCCTGGGGATCTGGACGCACCACCTCAAGGACATTGAGATCAAGGACTGGTCCGACACGCACTACAAGGGCAAGGCGATCAAGCTGGGCGCCGGCGTGCAAGGCATCGAGGCGTACCGGGCCGCCGACGCGCAGGGGCTCGAGGTGGTCGGCGGCGAGTGTCCGACCGTCGGTCTGGCCGGCGGCTACACCCAAGGCGGCGGGCACTCGGCACTGGCCTCGCGGCACGGGCTGGCAGCCGATCAGGTGCTCGAGTGGGAGGTGATTGACGGACAGGGCAACTTCATCGTGGCCAACCGCGACAACGAGTACGCGGACCTGTACTGGGCGCTGAGCGGCGGCGGCGGCGGCACCTACGGGGTGGTCTGGTCGATGACGTCCAAGGCGCACGCGGGGACGCCTGTGTCGGGGCTGAACCTGACCTTTACCAATGCCGGTATCTCGCAGGATACATTCTACGAGGCGGTTGCGCTGTATCATTCGACGCTGCCGGCGATCGTCGACGCCGGCGCCATGAGCGTCTGGTATTTTACCAACACCAGCTTCTCCATCTCGCCGCTGACGGGACCCAACATCCCCGTGGCCAAGCTTCAGGCGCTAGTCAAGCCCTTCACGGACGGGTTGACCCGGCTGGGGATCAAGTATACCACCTACTCGGCGCAGTTCGACAGCTACCTGGCGGAATTCGAGGCAATGCAGGGCGCCATTGAGGTCGGCATCGCGCAGTACGGTGGCTGGCTGATCCCGCGGTCAGTCGTGCAGAACAACAACGCCAACCTCACTGCCGCGTACCGGGCCATCACGTCCGACGGCGCCACCTTCATCGGCGTGGGGGTCAACGTCTCGACCGCGGTCGCCGGCAACGTCTACAACGCGGTGCTGCCCGCGTGGCGCGACACACTGATCGACACCGTCATCACGACACCCTGGAACTGGACCGCTCCGACGGCCGACATGATCGCGCTGCAGCACAAGATGACCGACGAGTACATTCCTCGCCTGGAGGCGTTGGCGCCTACCTCGGGGGCGTACCTCAACGAGGCCGATTTCCGGCAGCCTAACTTCCAGACGGCGTTTTATGGTAAAAACTACCAGAAGCTGCGGGCCATCAAGGCCAAGTATGATCCGCATAGCATGTTTTATGGGACTACGGCTGTGGGGTCGGATGAGTGGACCGTCACCTCGGATGGACATATGTGTAAGAGCAAGCTTACATAGCCAGAGTCGGCTAAGGACACTGTATATATGATTTCAAGTAGATATCTATACCTTGATTCTTGACTTGACTATGCAGCATCTGCAAGTAACGTGACTCGGGATTTAGTGGTAGCACTAGCCTCATATTAGGCTAATAGCTATTAGCCAGCTGGAGTTCTTCCTCAGGGGCTTGAGCTAATCTAAGACTAAGTAGATAGTCCCATTTCCCGTCAATAATAGGATCCATAGCATCTGTACTCGCAGCTCATCAAGCTGAAACTTGTATTTCATCAACCAATATTAAGGCATCCTTCGGACGAATCGGGATGTTTGAGA